AGAATCCACAACACCAACACAATCTACCACTACAACTGAAACACCAACTACAAGTATAGAATCCACAACACCCTCAACTAAATCTACAAGCCAAACACCTTCTACTACCCTATATGGTTGTCCTAAATGGAATAAAATGGTAAGTTGCATAACTTTAAAAACCCTGAATCAAGCTATTTTTAAACTACTAAATGTTATTCTTTTTAAATGTTTTATTTTACTTTGATGATTACCCTGATTATCCTCTTTTCTTTATTACAGCAAAATGAGACCTTTTATTTTTGCAACTGCACCATGGCCAAATGTATTGGAAGCAATACTCTTCAAATAGTGCCCTATGAATGTCCACCCATCCAAAACATAACTTGTTCCAATGGAAAAACTCCTGTTCTGGTATATGATGAATATCAATGCTGCCAACATTATCAATGTGACTGTAAGTTATTTGGTTAAAATCCTTAAGAAATAGACCAAAAACTAAATATTTTGACCACTCATAAAGGAAACAATACAACAATATATTATAATGATTAATTGTATGAATCGTAACAGTGATTAGCACAAATAGTGTTGCAAATTGGTTGAAAGTAGCCATTAGACTATTCAAGCACAACTTCATAGGGATTCTCCCATGCAGCTCAAATAGCTTTTTGCTAATGTGTCATTTCTAGACTCTTTAGGAAAACTGTGGATTTTATTCTTTCTTTTTACAATTGGTGTGAGCTATATTTGTGGCATAAGGCCTACTTAATCTTAAGCAAGTCGTCATAATATAGTGGCTGATCAATACATTCAGTCAAATGCTTCTGTTTTAAACTGAATAAAGATTTCATTTCTTTTTATCACTCCAGGCGAGTGCAAAGGGTGGGGAGATCGTCATTACAGCACATTTGATGGACTATCCTACAAATACCATGGAAACTGTTCCTATTATTTGATGAAAGAAATTACACCAAGGGATGACTTGGAAATTTACATTGATAACATGCATTGTGATCCTTTGGAAGATCCTTCATGTCCTCAGTCTTTAAATGTAAACTATGGAGCAGAACATATCAAACTGTCCTATTTTATTCTCAATGGACAACCAGATTTGAAGGTAATACAAGATGATCCCCCTCTGAATATAATACTTTTATACTGATTACAAAAGACAAACAGTATATTGGTCAAGATGTGTCTTGACCAATATACAATGTACTTGCATGTGGGATCAAATGTCTGTTTTAGCCTTTTTTTTTGATATCTGAATTGTGATTATTTTGCAGGCATTTACGAATGAAGTGAGTCAAAAGCTCCCTTATTGGAAACAAGGTGTTAAAGTGATAAGTACTGGCACTAATTTAGTTTTAGAGATCCTTCGTCTAAATGTGGTTGTTAAATTTGGAAGAACTGGATTTAGTATCAACCTTCCATACAAGTACTTTGGAGGAAACACACAGGGTCATTGTGGTAAGAACTACCTCTCAGGAGACCATCTGTGTTTATCTTCTGGTTTGAATGTAGATAATGACACTTCAAAATCTGTGATAGGAACTTGCACCAACAGTCAAGGTGATGACTGCTGGCAGTCTGGAGGAACAGTATCAGAAGGTTGCGCTAAAATTGCTGATGGCTGGCTTCTAGAGAAAGATAAAGGCTGCAAGCCTGGAGGAGAACCGCCTTCGAAACCTCCATGCAGCGCAAGTCCTGTATGTGAACTCCTTAAGAGCAGGTACTTTGTGACTTTGTTCTGTATTTTTTTTTTATTGTAAATTAGTTTGGAAGCTTTTAAAATCATCATTTTCTCTTGTGATTATTATTCTTTTTCTTTTTCCACCAGTGTCTTTGCTGAATGCCATTCCCGGATCTCTCCAGATAATTACTACAAAGGATGTGTTTCTGATAGCTGCCATGTTCACAACGGAGCGAATGCAGTGGAGTGCTCAAGTTTAGCGACTTATGCTGCTGCCTGCTCTGACGTTGGAGTTTGTATTCACTGGAGGAACCACACTGATCTATGTGGTACAATATTTATTTTTGTCCAAGTGGACATCTTGAAACCAAAAATAAGTTTTTCAAATCTAAATTTTAATTTGTGCTTACAGTTTGATTAAATAAAACAAACTAAATTGTTGTCCTTTACCAACAGCCAGTGACTGCCCATCAGGCAAAATTTATAAACCTTGTGGACCTGCATATCAACCAACTTGTGAGGACAGGTGAGTTATAAAAAATAATTTAACATATAAAGTTATTTCCTCATACTATTATGGCAGGTACTAGTTATTTTTAGTGTAAACAAAAGGAAATTGAACAAAAATTGTGAAAGCAACCCTGATAATTCCTTTTCCTTTTTAATTAAACTTAGTTTATCAGGTGATGCTGATTAAAAAGCTAGATGCTTTGTTATATAAATAAGTAAATATCTGAATATGTTTTAATAGTCCTCAAGTCTTTCTGAAAGTTTTCTCTTGTCTTAGTTACTTACCTCTTTCAATCTGTCAATTCCTCAATTTTGATCAATTCCACCTAATTTGTTTGCTTTTAAAATAAAATAAAATAAACACTCAACTTGCTTTCTTGGTCATTACAATATTCAGCAACATTTAATGTCAAAATTATTCACGCTAAATGTGAATAATTTAAACTCATTTAAAATCATTTTAATCCTCCAATAAGTTTCGACAAGGAAATGAGACCTCATTTATTCTTTGGAGGTGTGTTAAACGATGGTAAATGTAAAAGGAGTATAATCCATCCATCCATTGTCTGTTCCCTCTTACCTCTTCAGTGTCAAAGGGGACCTGGTGCCTAATTGCAGGAGTTCTTGAGAAAGACGAGGGTACATCTTGAATAGGATGCCAATCCATCTCCTGACAATATTGACACACACAGCAAAGAATAACCATGAACAAACAATTTATGGGCAATTCAGCAATTCAGAGAGAAAATAAATATCTAAAACACTTCTAGACTGTGGAGTACGGAGTGGAAAGTTTAGCTTTTTCTTTAGTCTACAAAGCAGAAGTATTACAATCTTGTTTTCAAGGGCCAGTGTACTGCAACTTTTAGATTTGTCTCATCTTCAGCATACCTCAAAGTGAAACCCATAACTGCAGCATAAATAGCAATATAACTAATAAACCCAGTGAAAGCAAAACACAAACCACTAAAGGAGCAATTAAGATGCAATAAGGAATAATGATTTTTGTTGTTGTTGTTGTTGTTATTGCAGTCCTAGTGATCCAGGTATGGATTTCACTACAGAGGGCTGCTTTTGTCCTGCAGGGATGAAACTGTTCAGCAGAGAATCAAAAATATGTGTTAAAAATTGTGGTAAGTATGTAATCACAACTCTGAGGGTATGTGTTAGTCTTAAGATTCAAGATTGAATCGTTGGTTCCTTCTGTTTTCTTTTCTAGCTGCCTAACTGGGGTCTTATTCTGGTGATGTTTATGAGCTGTCCAAAATAATTTGCAGTTTTTACAATTACTGTTTCCATAAAATTTTAAAATACCAAATCTATATCTGTTCTTAGTGAGAGAAAAATAATGTCCACAACACATCCAAACATTTGTCAATATAACAAAGGAGAGCTGCACATTTTGTGACAAAAAATGTGCAGTCTGCAAAATGTAACTGAGCCAAGTTTGCCTTTAAATGAATATCAAAGTGTTTTGTCTAGAATATAACCAACACGCCCAAAACCTGTGCTAACACACAGTATATGAGCTTAACCTATCATATTATTTTGGTTTTCCCTCTCTCTTAAAATATCTAATATGCAGTTTGCTTGCAGCATATTTTTAATTATTGTCCAAAAGGGTACATTTTGGGAGTTTTGTCTCTCTTTGACACATCAATCAACCAATCAATCAACCAATTTTATTTATAAAGGACCCTTCATACTAAAAGCAGCTCAAAATAACTTGTAACATCTTACAAGTTACAAGTATTCACAAAAATCCTATTGGGATTGTCTTTTTCATAACTTTTATTAGGTGTGTAGTACTTGGGGAATTGAAAAGTATCTTAATCCCAATCACGAATAAAAGTGATTAATTTCAGCATTAGCAATTCGAGAGAGCAGAGACTCACATAATTATGTTTACACTATGTTTTAACAGGCTGCCTTGATCCTAATGGGACGCCCCGGGAGGTGAGCCAAACCTGATTTTCATGTAAAGTCCTCTACTTCTTCCCTTAGGTGTTAAAGTCAACACTTTGGTTTCTTTTTTTTTAGTTCAATGAGACATTTGAATACCAATGTCAGAACTGTGTGTGTGATGAGTCCACCAAAACTGTGATCTGCAAGCCTAAGACGTGCCCACCCACTATTTTACCAAGATGCATGGGTCCAGATTATGTCCTTGTCAATAAAACTGATCCATCAAATCCCTGCTGCGTTGTCCACGTTTGCCGTAAGACATCAGTAATAATGCTGATTACTGTTTGCTGCTTGTTAGTGTTTAAATTAGTAATAAATTGAGTTTTCCTTCTTTGTGTAAACAGAATGTCAGATCCACGCTTGTCCGGACATCAACATGAACTGTGATGTTGGATTTAAGCCAAACATCACTGTTCCAGAGGGAAAATGCTGTCCAGTACTTAGTTGTGGTGAGTCTATAAAATCGATTTGAACCTGCATAGTGCCAAATGGATAAAGAATCACTTTTAAAGGACCATTTTTTAACATAATTGTTCATTTTCTTTCCTAGTACCTAAAAGAGTCTGTGTGCTAAATGATGTTGAATACCAGGTAAGTGACAAATGTGTACGGTGTTCTTTTTAATAACCCTTTTAATCCTACCATTATAAAGGTTCGCATGAGCTTATTTTTACATTTTTGGATGCTGCAGAGCCATTATTTGGAGCATTTCAATTGCCAATACATCAATACAATCCTTATATCCAGATCTTTCACAATTTATATGTTATTAATATATAAGTTTTAAATTTGTGGTATAACAATGAATTTATGTGGATTTGTCAGCCCGGTTCTTCAGCTCCTGGCCAGAAATGTGAGAACTGCTTCTGTTCCTCAAACTCTTCATCTGGTGGTCTGATGGAAATCAAGTGCGAGAAGCAGCAGTGTGAAAAAACATGCAGAAAGGTGAGGAAGACAATGTAACGCGTATGGGAATGTGGCCACTCTGGTGGGAGAAAGTGTTGACATGAAGTTGGTACTCCAAATATAAATGAGATTCAGGCATAAGCTGAGGTATCTATATGTAAATGCCCACTAATATAGTCTGCACCAGTAAACATGGGAATACTGTTAAAGAAATGCCAGCTAATGCTAAAGGAAACTGGATTCAGAATGCATAATACTACATGGACTTTAGTGCTTATTTACACAAATTAAAACTCACTGCTTTTTTGTGGAAATCAGGCAAGTAAAATACAATATACTGAACAGTTTTCAGCATTTTTTAATAATGTCTCAATTTTCAGTGTGGTGGGCCAATTTCTGTTGTTCAGTTGTAATGTTTGCTGTTGTCAGAAAAAGATAAAAATGAATATTTAACAGTTTCTTAATTAGAGCTTAGAAAAATTATGTTTTGCCAGTGGTTCAACCCTTCACAGCAGTTATAGTGGGGAAACATAATAGCCATGCCTGGTTTATTTCTAAGCATGTTTAGGTGTTGCAATATCCCCGAGAAAGCCAAGACATGAATCATATTAAAAATCTGTGGCAAGATTCAAATATTGAGGGAGATTGGGCAAAAATTGTAATCGCCACATATGCAAAGCAATATCCCAGAAAAAAACAAACTATTTTCACTGAAGGCTGTTACACAAAGTAGTGACTCTGACTTCACACTTTCTGAATTTTGTTTGTAAAGGTTTAGAAAATTATGTAACATTTCTATTCAATTGTGTACAAGTTTGTCTATTGGAGAAGATCTAAATAAAAAACTTTGTAAATGGGGGTAATTGCTTGAAAAAATGTTAAAAGGGACAAGAGGTGTGAATAAATTTACAAGCAACTGTATTTTAATCTGACCTTCGATTTTATTGAATTTGCTTTTTATTTCAGGGATTCAAATATGTAAAAACCAACTCAGATGATTGCTGTGGGACGTGTGTGCAGACCCAGTGTGTGTTCGTTGTTAATGGCACTGAGACACTCTTAAAGGTAAACCAAATCATCTCTGTGGGTTTGCATAAATTTCTGTAAGTATAAAACAACTAAGTATGTGGTTATCTGTGTGGTAATTTCCAGGAGGGAGAAACCTGGTCACCACCTGAAAATAAGTGTGAAAGTAAGACTTGTGTTAAGAATGGTGAGACTTTTACAATCACCAACAAACAAATAATTTGCCCAGCATTCCAAGAGAGCAACTGCAAGAATGTAAGTGCCTGGTTTAATACATAAACCCACACTGGATCATATACAGGGAAAAATTCTAACTTATTGTTGATTTTTTGTTTTCTATTCAGGACACAATTCAGACTGCAGCAAATGGTTGCTGCAAAATCTGTGAGTATGATTATTTTCTTTTCTTTAGAGTCAAAGACACTGAAACAAGCATAAAAACTAATTTTTTTTCCTCTAACATTTTAAAAGGTGTGGAAAAAGAGAAGGCCTGCAGACTGTTTAACCGGACAACTCCTATCAACCACAATGGCTGTCAGTCTGAGTTGAATATGCCGTCATGTGAAGGATCATGCGACACTTTCACCAAGTAAGTATGACATTACTTTTAGTTTTGTCTTCCTCTGGAAAGTCATCAAATCGTTTATTAAGCAGTTGTGAAGTACTGAATGTGCTGATTTTTTCTGTCCTTGTTCTTTTCAGGTACTCTGAAGCAGCAGCTGCTATGGAGCATTCCTGCTCCTGCTGTAAGGAGAGACGCGCCAGCAACCGCACTGTTACCCTGGCGTGTGAAGATGGTACGCACGTCCAGTTCACTTATGTGCATGTGGAGGAGTGCGGCTGTGGGCACACAGAGTGCACCACACCTGCTGCACTGCATGTTCGCAGAAAGCGACGCTTCACACTGCAGTGACACAGTCCTCTGTCCTCACATGTGGGACCAAGATTTATCTCCAAGAATCATTTAAATAATCATTAAATCTCTAATAAGGTATTGCATACTTTATGGAGCTCATTTATCAGTTGATTGAATAAAAAGATGCAAGTGAAATCAAGTCGCCTGTCTTTTATTGTCTTGTTTGGGCCAGCCATCTCAGCTACTGCTTGTGGTTCTTATTTATAAGAATAGTTATTGTTAATACCCTGATCTCTGAGTAATTATCATATTTGCTGCTGTATCACAAAATCTAATGAATAATTATTTTCTGATTTGTTAGTGAGTTCTAGAACTCAAATGCAAGACTCAACATAGTGACATAAAATCAGTAACACTTTAAAACAGTCCAAGGTTAGGGCACAAAAATCCATTCCAAACATCTGAGACAAGTCCATAAAACAAGTTGAGTCAGGATAGTGAGACACAGGTGGTTGACTATAGGTGGGAACCTCAGCAAGTGAAGTTCTCTAAAACGAGACAGGAAATAAGTGCACAAAATAAACACGGAGATCTCAAACCACGATATACAAGTGTAAAACACTCAGCAGAGCTGGACACAATTGACCTGACTTAGACACTCTAGAGAATCTAAATACTCACAGAGACAACTAGAATTTTCTTTTCTGGTTAAGAAAATAAAAGCCTAGGAGATAAAGGTCTGAACTTAAAATAATTCAGCTCAAAGTTATTTGAACAAATTTGCATTTTAGCATCTGTGAGAACAATAGCAGAACTAGTTTCTTGTACTGTATTCAACCCCCAAACAGGTAAAAATAGTTATGATGTAGACCTTGATATTTCAAAACAAACTTGTAAAGCTAACAAGTGATAAGTCGTTGTTTGTTCTTACACACATTCATATTTGTACTTTCAACCTTTTGCATTAGATCATATTACACTAAACACTAAATATAATCTGTGCAACTTTTGTTGAATATGATGAATCACATAAAGTAAGGATTTAAAAAGTATATTTTTGAAAATATATATATTAAAATTAATATTTACATGTACTTATATAAGTTTAAAAAGCATCTGAATGTAGCAGTAAATTAAAACAGCCAGTGACCACAGTTTGTCACTTCTTCTATTAGATTTTAATGCGGTTGGTTCTCACTTTTTCATTCCGTGACCATTCTTGAGAGACGTGTTTTTTGCAGAGCTGCAAAATCACAGCCATTTTGCTCCAACATGGACACAATCTGCTCCTGGCAAGCGTGATAATGTTCCTCCACACTGAACAGCTCTCTGGCACTATGTAGTGTGTAATACAGGATGTACCACCCCCTGAAATGGTTACACAAAACGGGGAATACCTGTGCAGGATCTGCCAATGGAGATTAATCTGCCAGAGGCAGAACAGGTAAAAGCCACGCCTGTGGAGAAGGGGCTGATGACACCCAAAGCTCAGAGCTGGATGATTCATCGTGCTTTTTTAGGTTGCCAAGGCCTTCATCCAGGAAATTGTGAATTTCTTTTGGAAACTTTCCCGAAAGCTCAGTGTGTTTCCTTCTTACGTGTCGTTACACAAATGAAAGAAGTCAAATAGAAGGACATTTGTAAGGTGGCAACAACATTTACATAGCACTGTAGTTTGTCATGAGGTGTTTTGAAAGATGGTCCCAAATCCAGGAAGGCTGAAACATTGAGTAGTTGATGATAGTTTTAATGAACATACATGATGACAAACAAAACTTACAGTCAGACAGGTGAATCCAAAAACGGGAACCAGAAACACTAGCATGATGAGGAGAATAAATGAGGTAAAAAAAAAGGAGGAACCAGAAAGGAGGAATGAGAAAGAGGTGATTAAATAATTGGAGAATGAAGTGGCGGGTGTGCAGAGAAAGAGACTAAGGAACACAGAATAATAATGAAACCAGAATCAGGGAAGCAAAGTGCGAAACAACTCAACAACCCAAGATCCAAACATTTTCCCTTTTCTTCTCCAAAGACTTAAAAGGAAAAGGAATAAGATATTAAGCAGAGAAAACAGCGGAGGTCCCAGCTGCGTAGATTACTATTAATAAGAATCTTAGTTTTCTAATTAATGACAAAAAATTAACTTATATCTTAGTCATACCTAAATGATTTAGGACAAAAATTATAGCCAGATCAACCAATACATTGCTTCTATGGGTAAACATGGTAATGACAAACTTGAAGCAAATCAAACATAATCTTATTTGTACTCTCCAGGAGTGTCTCATTTTATTGGCTGTTTAATTTTCTGACACGCTTGATGAAGAAAATACAGTACAGCATTTAGAAAAATTGTGAACGTCATTTCAAACAATCAATCATATTGACAAACCCGCACAAAAAGGCGGAGTTACATGGAAATCTAAATGTATATATATGAAGCCCTGACTGTCAGCCTCACTTTTATCTGCTTTGGGTCACAAAGCCCTCTGTGGCAACCATGAAGTGGACTGTGGTGTGGTTGTGTTTCTTCAGCATTGCTGGTGCTACTGAAGCCAAGCGGGGTAAGACTTGCATATTTTAGATTCTATCGAATAGATTTTGGCACTACAACCAAAATTAATAAACTATTTCTACTAGTTTAATAGACGATCAGGAGGTCTGTGATGTTAAATATAATTTTCTAAAAAGATAAAGTAATAAATGTGTAATTTCTAGATTATATGTTGTTCATATTTTGTTTTAATTTTGCTGTTCTAGCTGACAACCATGTCAACAACATCTGCAGCACTTGGGGCAGGCAGCACTTTAAGACCTTTGATGGTGATGTCTTCCAGTTTCCTGGCCTGTGTGAGTACAACCTGGTCAAAGACTGCCGCAAGTCCGAGAATAAGTTTTCTGTGCACATTAGACGAGAAGAAAATGATGGAAATATTACAATAAGTTATGTTGTGGTCACCATCTCTGAAAATACATTCACCCTAACCAAGACTGAGGTCGCTGAAAACGAGAATCCGTAAGTAAAACTTTGCAACAAATTTACATTAGTCAAGATCTTTTACATTGTGCTTGTCAAATCTTCAAACTTTTATTCTCTTTTATCAGAGTCACTCTGCCGCACTACAGTGGCGGAGTAAAGGTGGAAGAAAGTACATTTTACATCAGGCTTCGAGCGACCAAAGTCGGCATTATAGTCATGTGGAACCGTGAAGACGCAGTCATGGTATACATCTTTTTGTTTCTGCCTTCCTTTGAGTCAATTTTTGTTTTCCAAATCAATAAATCACATCAACTGACTGATTACGTATAGAGGTCCGGCTTAAAATAAATACATTAGCTCTCCCTGTTGGATGAAACAATTGGAGATACAGTAAATCTCTGCTGAGAGGAAATTATGAGATGATAAAAAACTTTTTGGATTGTTGGAAACGTTGGACTTTAACTTAACTGTAACTTTTAAAACTTTTTGACATTATAGGCACTGTGAAAGAACAGAGAGTGACATTTTATTTCTGATATGAATGATGAAAAATAATGTGAAACATGATCCTCTCTGTTTTGTGCTTCAGGTGGAAGTTTCAAACAGATACCAGAACCAAACTTGTGGCCTTTGTGGAGATTTCAACGGCGTTCCTGTCTATGATGAGTTCATGGATAATGGTTTGTAGTTCAATGAAATGTGTAAAATGTATTACAGAATGAAAAAAAATCAGTCTAACCTTTATTTTTTCACTTCATCTTCATAATCAGCTATTAAAATGACCCCCATTGAGTTTGGAATCAAACACAGAGTCCATCTGCCAAACGATGAATGCAAAGACCCTCATGTAGAAGCTGATGAATCAAAGACGAATGTGTCAGATTCATGCAAAGCATTTGTAAGTATAGCAATCAGTTTTTTCCAGTAAAAATGTTAAGTAAGATGTTGACTTTTGGATCTCCATCTTATTTGCTCACTACAGCAAACCATCTGTGAACAAATATTTCACGGGGATTCCTGGAGTTCATGCGCCGGCCTGATTAGTGCTGAAGCTTTCATCCAGGCATGCGTGGTAGACATGTGTGCCTGTAACAACGGTACCAGTGACTT